TGAATATATTAATTAAAGTATACAAATATGATATTATTACATCAAATGGAATGGACATTTTGCAACAAGAATAGGATATCAAATTGTTTTATGAACAATTCATATTTCCTATTCTATATGAAAACAAGGCAATAAACTGCTGACTGAAATTAAAGTAAAAATACAGCAATATGTCAAATTTTATCCCACACAGAGAAACACTAACTTTTAAGTTCTAATTTGGGTTACATCTTTTGAAGTCACTAAAAGACAACAAAATATCAGAATAATATACCCCCAATTTAAAAAAATCCAGATATTCAGCAATACAAATATTACCATTGAAAATATACAGAAATAAGCTAAGAATTGAAACAGTAAGTCTAATTTAAGCAAAGTTTTAACTTAGAAAGATGAAAACAAAAAACAAAAACAGAAGTCTCTGACAATACTGAAGCTTCTTCTTCTTCTTCTTCTGTTTACCAACAAAACTTCAGAGTACTGAAGATTACTTGTTGGTGCGCATGCGTGACCTAAACTTTTATAAATAGAAACAGAAATGTGCTTTTATTTACATTTGTGATTAAAAGAAAAATTTAACTGTTTTACTTTTTACATGATAGTGTTGAGAACAGCTGGGGTTAGCTGTTCTCTAAAAATGTCAACGTTAGTGGCTTGGACAGCAGATTGGGGGAGCAAATTCCATTGAATTATAGTATGAGGAAAAAATGACCATTTGTATGTATCTTTTGATGCTGGTAAATGTCTGTATGTTTGTGAATGATTTTGTCTAGTTCTTGTGTCTGTAGGTATGAGTATTTGTGTTGGTTTAGCGACAAGTTGATGAACTACTTTATAGAACATTATATTAATCTTGTTTTGAGGCGTCGCTCAGCTAGTGTTGGCCACTGTAGTGTATTAATCATGTCTGTAACACTACTAGTATTGTGGCAAGTGTTAGTCACATAGCGAGCGGCCCTTCTCTGTACCATTTCAAGTTTTTGTCTATACTGTTTTGTATGTGGGTCCCACACACTACAACAATACTCTAGTTTAGGACGCACTATTGAAGGCTCTGGATTTTACTTCCGTATTTGAAATTTTTAGATTACGTTTAAGGAAACCTAATGATCTATTTGCATTTGCAATAATATTATCATAATGTTTGTTCCACTTTAGATTTGACTGTAGTGTTACACCTAAATACTTGGCTGAACTTACTGACTCGAGTACATGATTATGTAGAATGTAATTATGAGAATATGTCTGTTTCTTATGAGAGATAGTGAGTTTAGTACACTTGTCTGGGTGGAAGGCCATAAGCCAATCAGACTCCCACCGTGCAGCTGCATCTAAATCTGATTGTAGTTTGTGACAGTCTTCTGGTGTTTTTATTTCTTTGTAGATGATACTATCGTCAGCAAAGAGCCTTAGTTTACTATGATGGAGATATTCAGGGAAGTCATTTACTGATAGAGGATAGGTCCAAACTGTTCCCTGGGGAACGCCAGAAGTGACAGGTACAGAAGTAGAGGAAATGCCATTTATAACTACTGTTTGTGTTCTATTATAGAAAATCATGAATAAAGTCTGTTTCTTATACCATAGAAATTTAATTTATACATAAGGCGAAATCGAAGGCTTTAGCAAAGTCCATTATGATTAAAATTGTTTTTGTATGCAAGTTCTTGATAAAATCTAAAATTGTGAAAATCTTGATTTCCTGAACCCATGTTGTAAATCATATAAGATGTTATTGTTTTCTAGATGGGCCATGATGTTGCTGGTGATTATATGTTCCATTAACTTGCAACATATGCAAGTCAATGAAATTGGCCTATAATTTATATCTTTCCCCCTTTTAAAAGCTGGAGCTACATTAGCAAATCAAGGTATTTCACCGGTTTCTAATGACTTTGTAAATACTAATGTAAGAATAGGTGTGACTTGTTCTTTTAGGTCTTTCAAAACCCTGCCATTTATATTGTCTGGTCCACAGGCCTTATGTGGGTTTATATTTGATAGTAGTTTCATAATTCCTGTACTGCTAAAAATAGGAGGCATGTAGGGTGGGGGCTTGTATTGGTATATCTGTGTTTGTTTCATTTGTAAAAACTGACTGAAACTGATGGTTCAATAAATTCGCTTTTTCCACTGTGTCAGCAATCCCTCATTTTTCAGGGGCCCAATCCCTAAGTTTTCTGTTCTTGTACTTTTAATGTAGCTGAATAAGTTTTTAGGTTTTGTCTTAGTTGTTTCATGTTGGTCTGGTTCATTTACTGGTAAATCAAAAATGATGTTTTCTATGTATCTCCAGTAAATTCTTTTTGTAACTTTTTTTCAATTCTTTAAAGTTGTTCTTTTCGTTTACTATATGCCTTAAAACAGTTTGTCTATTACCCATGGGAGCCTATGTTTATAGGTTATCATTTTGTGTGGTATATTGTTTTCAATAGAAGATAGAAGATTTACTTTAAAGATGTTCCACAGAGAGTCTACATTTACACTTTTGCTTTGTTCTAATGTTTCTAGGGTTGTTTTTAGATCTGATTTTATGTTTTCCCAATTTGCTTTGTTGAATCTGTATACCTTAATTTCCCTGGAATCACCATGTCCATCTGCTAATGTTTGGGTGTTCTACATACAATAAAGAAAGGTATAGACTATTAATGTAAAAAGTCATTTCATACCAACTTAAGGTAAAGGGGGAGTGAATATTTTGGAAAATAAAAAATTTCTGCCTTTGGTGGCCATGACATAAGCAATTTGTCAAACTGAGAATTATGCATCTTAGCATAGTCTACTAATGTTACCAAGTTTTATTGAGATGAAGTAGTGTTTTGCATAAAAATATACAATAAGTACTGATGCAAATTAAAGAACAGCCAGATTATTATAAGTGAAATGTTCCATCTAAAATGCATATGTAAAACATTGTAAAAATAAAATCTTTAAATTTTCAAATGCTTGGTACTGTATTGCAGCCAAATAGGACTAATACACCAATGGGGAAACTATATACAGTTAATTTAAAAGGTAGATTTAAAACAGCTTTAAGAACAGGAAAATGTCATCTTGTGTAAGTCATGTAAAAATGTAATTGGTTGAAGATGATAATAAACTTAACAATCTTAGTGTTGATTAAAAACATTATCATGACTGTGACAAATAAAGCATCAAAATGCGATGGTCATGACAATGCTTAAAATGAAATTGGTACAGTATCAAGACACAAGCACATTTTTGATCACAAGCTATAAATCAGTTTGTATTAAATATAAGTGAATGAAATTTCTCAATTTAAAAATGTACAAACAATACAAGCATAGAAATAAATGCTGGACAAAAATGGCTATGAAGAGATTCACAGGCAGACATGATGATACCAGTGTACACCCAAACAAGCAGATGGACATGGTGATTCCAGTGTATACCCCAAACTTTGTGGGGTATGACTGGAAAAAATGGGGTGAGGGAGGGGGCACTGTTTTGCTTCTCCCTCTGCCGTGTTTTTATTTAGGAGCCCCATCATATTTAATGGAAACTAGTCATATCAAATGCACAAAACACTACTTTATGATCAGACCAATATGCTTCAATCACATCTGTTTCACATGGGGATATATTTGTAAAAATCAAATCAAGCTTCGAACCGGAGTCATGAGTAGTCTTACTTACAATTTGTTGACAGTTAAAGCCTTTTTCCATAAATGTTAAAAAGTCTGCATGCCCAGCAAACAAATCAAAATTAAAATCTCCCAAGAATACCAAGTCTTTCTGATCATCAATCAAAGGCTTTATATGCATTTCCACGTGATGTTTGAAATTTTCCAAAGAACAAGATGGATATTTGTAAATAACTATGACTTGTACATCTCTATATTGGTTTAATTGTATGTTTGCCTTAATAAACTCTATGGGACCATTGTTTACCTTTGAGATGCAAGTTGTCTTGTAAATGTCTTTCACATACAGTGCTGTTCCATGATGTGGACGTCTATCAGAACTATCTAAAGTCTCATGGTTAAATATTGCTGTGTATCCCTGAAGTTGATAATTTTCCACATCTGCACTAGTTAATCTTGTCTCTGAGAATCCAACTACATCTGAAGCAAGAATGTTTGGCTCATTTTGAATTTGTGGAAAGTGTTTGTGAAGAGATCTACAATTGTTAAAAGCAATCTTTAAACGATGCAAATCAACCTGGTATATTGGGACATAACAAAGTTGGAGTGGCACCTCTTTTTTCATTCTCTCCATTTCATCTACGACTTGTTCATCCATAGATAATGCCTGCTCATTGAAGTTTAGAATATGCAGATGATCTACTGACCTTACCCGACTAAGTGCTACATAGTGGATGTGGGGAATTTTCCTCACTTTTGTTTGAGACATATCAATTACAATTTCATCAACTGTGCAACCTTGGGCTTTATGAATTGTTTTTCCTGCAGCTGGCCGTAATGGAAATTGGATTCTCTGAAAAGTATTGTAATTCAAAAGAAAAGACCGTTGAACTTCAAAAATTGGTGTCCAGTTCTCAGAAATTCCATCATGAAATAAATGTCTGTATTTCCTTCGAGTAGTTTTTCCAATTCCAGAGTCAAAAAATTCCACCCAAACTATGCTTGGCCTTGATATACCTTCCATTCTCCTTTCAATTAATTGCACTTTACATGATGAACCATTTGTCAAACCATCAGATACATCAACATTGACTGAGATATCATATATCATCCCAACAGCAAGAATCAAATTTTGCATCAAATTGGCAGTTTTGCTTACATCATCTGCTTTAAGAAGAGATCTTAGCAGTTTTTCCTTAACTTCTTTTGAATAATCTTTAATAACAGAATCAACTGAATTCACTGTGACCTTTTCTCCTCCAAGATTTTCAATCAACTGATTGTTGTATGCGTCTACTTTAGAATTCTGTGTAAAGAGATGAGGAGCATGATGTGGATAATTGTCACTTGTTTCTGTTATCATGCATCTGTGTATCACATTCATATCTTCTGCTGTCATTGATTAATTTTGTAACGAAGGCGATTCAGAAGTTGAGCGAACTCAATATCATCTTTTTGGCGCATGATTTCGTCCAACTCAAAAATAGAAAAATGCTCCTTCCAAAGATTGCTTGCAAGAACTTGGGCATCATGATTTAAATCCTGAAAGATCCAACGGTCCATCACAGGCTTAAGTTGGAAAAAATCACCAACAGCAATGATACTTATACCACCAAATGGTTTCTTGATGCCTGTGAGAAGTTGTAGACGACTGTCAATGAGTGCTAATGATCTGTTTCCCACCATTGATATCTCATCAATAATGATTACTTTCAGGTTTTGGTACTTTGTACGAAAAGTGTTCAATTCGTCAGAGTGCAAACTTTGTTGACTTTGATTAATTTTTTGATGGAAAGCAGATGCTATAGTTGCTCCTCCAATGTTGTATGCCGCCTTGCCAGTATAAGCACACAGAAGTATTCTTATGTCATCTGGATTTTCACCTTCTGTGGAACATAGGTATCTGTGCAGAGCTTGATAAAGTGCCCTTATCAAAACAGATTTGCCAACACCAGCACCTCCAGATAAAAATGTATAAATAGGTTCTTTCTTTGTTTTGACCCACTGCACAACATGATTAAAAAATTCCCGCTGCTTTACATTTAGACTTCTTAAAAGTTTCAAGTATTCACTGTCTGATAATCTAACAGAACTGTCTTCTGTTATTTGTCTTGTTGATGGAATGCCTATATCAGAACCTAAATCATACTGTCTTTGTTCAACTGGTCTCTCAGGATTAAATGGGACAAAGTTCTCAGATTCACGAGATCCTTCATTTTCATCCTCTCCTTCTGTTTGTTGAGCATTTGGTGCCAATTCATCATAAGCTTCTGAAAAATCCTCACTTGCCATTTGCAGAGCTGCATCAAGCTGTTCAGCATTGTATTCATATTCCTTGACTTTGTTTGTTAAAAAGGATTTCCTACGATTAAAGGATTTCTCAAATGAGTCAGTTCCAGATATTAGATCAACCGATTCAACTCTCCAAGGCAAAAATAACATAAGCTTTTCTCTGTAGTAGTTTTCTGGATCCGTTTTGATATTAAAACGCACATATCTAATTACCCTTGGCACTTTTCGTCGTCTAATTTTTATGCCGTTTCTCAAAGTAACAAGTGTATCACTTTCACCAAAGTCAAGATCTGAATCATTCTCTTCCTCATCATTTGACATATTGTTCTTATCATCATCATCATTCACTTCCTTTTCAATCAACTCCTTTTCATCATCTTTTGGGAATACAACATCTAGTTGTGATACATAATCAGCTAAACACCAGTTTTCAAGCTGTTTTGGGCGTTTTGCATACCGTTTAATTATATTGCTACATTCCACATCTGTAGAATTTGGTGTCAATTTTTCTAATTCTGCATCTGTTTTGATGAGAATTACTCGGTCATCTGATGGACTTGTGTTGATAAAAACTACATCTCTTGATGCTTTTGTCATTGGCATTTGTAACACTAAATATGCTGCTTCCTGTGCTCCAACTTCAACACTGTTGAGAAAATGGTTTCCAATGTGGCGCACCTGTCTTTTAATGTCAAGATTTCCTTCTCTAGCTTCCTTTGCTGCTCTGCTTAGTAAATCACTCATCCCTCTTTGAGATTTACTTATGTAAGAAACAATGTACATAGCACAAGCATATGGGTCCAAAATATACTGTATATCGATGTTAGCTCTCCAAGCATCAAGAACAACACTGTTGTATGAGTTTACCCTCATATCACATGGATTTCGTTTTAGAAAAACCTTTGGACCTCTCAGTGAACTTCTAATGCATTTAATGTAATCTTCCTCAGATATCTTTAACACAGTGCTTAGGAGTTCCTTGTAGGACAAATCGCATCCATTTTTCATATCATTTAACTGTTTCTGAATTTCATCATACATTTTCCTATATTTGTCAACCTCACATTCAAGTGGCTCCAAAATCAAGGTCTTTTCAAGAGGAGGAAGGGGAAAACCAAATCTGCATACAGCTTTACTTCTTTTTTTACATGTTTGTGAATGTTTGTGTACTTGTAAGCCAGTCAAATCATCTTCATTCTTTTCACATTTCAAGTAATTGTCTACATAATTCACTATCTCTTGTTCATTATTTTCATGATATTTTGGTGCATTTTCTATCCAAACAATCATATGAACATGTGGTGATCCTCTTTGCTGAAATTCAATTCTATAAAAGAAGTCTTTCACAACACCAATTGGATGGTGGTCACTTCTCAATACTGAATTCATGAACATACGGAATCTATGATCAAAGTATCTAGTGCATGTAATAGGATCCTTCTGTACTAGTTTTGATTTTTCAAACCAAGTCATGTTGTCGATTTCTTCATCAGTGTATTCCTTTCCATCATTTAACACTCCAAGTGCTCTAATGAGATCATTCCATCTTGTATCTGCAGCAGACAGAGACATAAACCATGTTGGTAAACCCAATTGTCTTATCATTGCAAATACATCCTTTTTTCTTGTTTCAAGATATGCAGGTGAATTTCGTAACTGTCTAAACACAAAAAAACCTTCATCATGTCTAACAAGGCTATTCACATGTTCAGGATTTTTAATTTCATTTGCTGTGATAGATCTTCCTTTGGTTTTGCATTTCCGAAGAGCCAGGTTGCATTTATCTGTAACTTGTTTCATTTGTATTTTTTTCAACTTAAAAAACAAATTTGGAACAGACTGGGCTGCACGTCTATCAACACTTCTCAATTCCCATTTAGCTATATCTGCATACGAGACACGTACTTGTCTTTCATCGTCTTGTAATCTTCCCTTTCCACAAAATATTGTTGGAAATGATAAATATTCTGCAGTCTGATCTTGATATAAACTAAGGGGACGTTGTCCTTCTCCTGGAGCAAAGGTGTATATCTGATTCATGTCTTGAGAAGCATCATCTAAAAGAGTATCACAATTACCATCTCTACCAACTCCGTCTACTTCACAATACTCATCGTCATCATCGTCTTCATCGGTCTCAAGATTACCAGTACTTTGATCTCTTTTTGCTTGTGTTTGCACTAGTTCTTGAACAATTTCATTTGCAGAAGATGTGATTTCTTGAAACCAGCTATCATCAACATTAATGTTTGCATTCTTGTAAAAGTCACTGTTGTTCAAAAGCCAATGTAATGCAATCAGTACTTTTGTTGGTCGTACATTTTCATGATAATCACATTTTTGGTAAGACAACTTTTTTTTCAACTTAACAGGAATTGTGATATTTTCATCCATCTTTCTAGGCAAGCTATTAACAGTAGGTTGAATATCAACAGGAACATTCACAACATTTCCTTTGACAGAATATTGTCCACCTCTTGGCAACTCCCTAATCTGCATAAAGGGGATTCGAAGTGATATTAGTCTCTCTTCTAATGAAAACAAATCTAATTCTCTTGGCTTGGGAGGCCATATCATACCATTGAGAACAGACAGCTTTGGGATTTTTCTTTCTCTAACTGAAGAATAGCAAGTCTTGCAAATCCATTCTGCATTATCAACAGAAGTAATACACGTAAGATATTTGCTTTTACTTGTGTCATCAAGTTTAGTATTTTCTACTTTTAAAACACTTTCTTTAAACCATGTTTGATGACAACATGAGCACACAAAAACTGGACCATGCTTAATCTGTTCATGAAAATTGTGAATGCAATCCTGTACGTTTATTCCAAACTGTCTTTGTCTAATTCTTTCATTTTCCTTGTTGCAATATTCTTTATTCTTTCTTTTTTCTCCTTTCCTTTGTTTATCATCCAACCTCTCATTTTGCCTGTAAGAACAATCACTGCGTTTAGTTTGCTTCTTTATTCGTTCTTTTTCAAGAACAAGAGGATCTTCCCTACTCTTGCTTTTTGAAATTCTATTTCCTTCATTTTCTTTTTGTTTTACTTCACAATCTAATCTTTTCAACTTTCTTGCAGACTTGTCATTTTTTCTTTCTTTCTCTCTTACTTCATCATTCTGTCTTTTAATTTTCCTTGCAGTTGTTTCCCTTTTGTTCTCCTTGTCTTTAACATCATAATTTTGTCGTTTTAATTTTCTTTCAGTTTTATCCAGTTCTTTTTCTCTTCCTTTATCCAGTTCTTTTTTTCTTTTTCCCTCACTTCATCATTTGTCTTTTAATTTTCCTTGCAGTTGTTTCCCTTTTGTTCTCCTTGTCTTTAACATCATAATTTTGTCGTTTTAATTTTCTTGCAGATTTATCCAGTTCTTTTTCCCTCACTTCATTTTCTTGCAGTTGTTTCCCTTTTGTTCTCCTTGTCTTTAACATCATAATTTTGTCGTTTTAATTTTCTTGCAGTTTTATCCTCATCATTCTGTCTTTTAACTTCACAGATTTATCATCACTTTCTGTCTTTTAATTTTCCTTGCAGTTGTTTCCCTTTTGTTCTCCTTGTCTTTAACATCATAATTTTGTCGTTTTAATTTTCTTGCAGATTTATCCAGTTCTTTTTCTTTTTCCCTCACTTCATCATTCTGTCTTTTAATTTTCCTTGCAGTTGTTTCCCTTTTGTTCTCCTTGTCTTTAACATCATAATTTTGTCGTTTTAATTTTGTCGTTTTAATTTTCTTGCAGATTTATCCTGTTCTTTTTCTCTTCCTCGTGATTCAACATTTTGACGTTTTAATTTTCTTGCAGCTTTATCCAGATCTCTCTCTTTTTCTCTCACTTCAACACTTTGTCGACTCATTTTCTTTGTGTTAGCATCTCTTTGTCTTTCAATGTGTTTAAATTGTTCATTTTGTCTCTTTTTCTTCATGTATTCTCTCATATAGGTTTTCCTGTGATAATCTTGTGATTCTGAATTTGTCGCTTTTAGCTTTTCATCCATTCTGTAATACCTTTTCTGTAATGGATCATTTTCTGGAAAGCTATGGTACAATGTTGCAATTGAGATGGGTAAAATTTCAAACTGCACTGCAAGATCAATATGCATACTGTTATACATGCTGTACATAAAAGACACTAAATCATCAATACTCCTGTTAAGCACTAGTACAGATTTACCATCACAAGAAGACATGCCATCACTGTCATGAGAATGTGAGTCAAAGAAGTAATACTCACTGTCCGACACTTTATATACAGCAGAACAAATGGCTCCTATCATTATCAGTAAATATCTTGAAACTTGAAATGCCTCTTCTAAAGCCTGATGCAATGTTTTAACCTGCCTGTTTTGTTCTTCCAAGATAACCAATCCCCAAATGGTTTCAAATTTTTGAATAACATGATGATTTTCTCCCATTTCAATGTTTATTGGCAATTCATCAAAATTTAAAAGTTTGTTGAGAAACTCTCCCCTTTGTTGCAAACTTTTGACAGTCTTTACATAAATTTGGTCTCCTGATACTAAAGTTCTATCTATAAATTCTGATGTAAATGAAAATCCTTCATAACATTTTGTCAGCATGGTAAGAGCATTGCAAGTACACTGACTACCTCTTGAGAATGATGAAAATCTAGTGTCCCCTTGATGGAATGTCCCAAATACTATTTTTCTAGTACATACCTGGTCATTTTCAGAAACACTGTGCAAAGTTTTTTCTCCAGCTATCACACTAGTAGTCTGTAAAGATTCAGTGGTCAAGGTTTTGTTCACTAAACTTTTTTCAGCAATTTCATTTTGCAAATTCATTTCATCAGATTCATGAAGCAGATCTTTTGCACAAACTTCACTCTGAGCATTTGTTTCAGAAATTTCATTCAGCATATTTGTCTCACAAATTTCATTCAGCAGATTTGTTTCACATAGTTCATTTGCCAGATTCATATCACAAAGTTCATTGAGCAGATTCATATCACAAGTTTTTTGGTTTTCCTGTTTTTTTGGTAACCTGAGGGCAGGCTCCTCAGGGTCAACATTGGTTTTACTGTTTTTCACGAGGCCAGTCTCCTCAGTCATTTTAATGTCATACATTGTTTTACTGTTTTTTAAGAGGCCAGTCTCCTCAGTCAAGTCCAGGTCAGACATTGTTTTACTGTTTTTCATGAGGCCAGTCTCCTCAGTCCTTCAGGTCAGTCTGTAACTCTTTCTTGGCACTGCTCTTCCTCCAGTACTTCTTACGAGGCATCTACAAAAATACATCTTTGAGATTACAACAAAAAAGTCACTATTATTTTCAAACCATTAAGGCCATGCAAAGTTAATTCCTTGGTTCTCAGGCCTTTTTTCAAGAAATATGATGAGGGGGGAGGCATTTTTTTTTTTATACTTTTTATTGCCCCCAAAACATGATGAGGCAGCGTTTTACATTGTACAAAATCTCAAAAAATAATGAGGGAAGTGATTTGGTGCTTTTATTTTATTGATTTAGCAATAAAAAGGGTCAATGAGGCACCCTTGGAAGAGATGAGGGAGGGCCTGAGTACCAAGAAATTAATTTTTTTTTGCCTAAAAAATGTTCACAAATATCACATGGCTATGTACGACTTGAAATAATCTTTATAATGTAATCAATTCCTAATAAATTTTTAGCCAGAAGAAAAGTTTCTCTGAACTTTATAGATATAGCAATTAACAGTACAATATTTTACAAAAATAAAAACTATTGTGAAGAGATTCCCTTCTTATATAAACTCATCTAATAAAAATGTTACATCCCTCCCCAATCATGACTAAAAAAGTTGAAATATTTTTATTTTACCTTTCTAATTTGATACAAGTTTTAAATTATTATATATATAAAAGTTTCCTGAAACTTATCTTGTAAATTTTAAATGCTTGCCCTTTAATATCATCTAATTACATTTAATACTAGAACTGTCCAAACAGGTCAAGGTCATGACACACCCTTAGGTCTGGGTTTTGTGGAGTAGTAAGTTTTTCCATAATAAAGATATGTATAAAGATATGTATCACACATGAATTATAAAACTTTTCTTCCAGTGACCTTGAACTTCCCCAAATGACCTTGGGTAAAAGGTCATGACACACAATATGGGTAAAATTGGCAATCTTTGCTTGACAATGAGAACCATCACCAAGTTTATCCATAAGAAAGATTACATTTTCTTTCACTTTGTTCTTAATGACATCACATTTACATGCACTGCAAGGTTGCTTATGACCATAAAATTAGATGCAATTGTGAAACACTTATGTGCCTGGTGGCAACAATATATAAGCATATAGTTTACAGTCAAGGTCACAAGGTCGTTGACCTTTGTGTCATTTGTATGAGCTTAATTAATAAAGTATGCATACCAAATATGAAGTCTCTATCTCCTATGGTTGGAAAGTTATGGCAAAAGATCAAAAAAGTTAAGAATCCTATTTAGTAAAGGGGGTGAATGAGGCTTATTGTTTTCTTAACCAAATTTCTTCATATTACTACATTAGCTTTTCACTTAAATTTTCTAAAGTGAAAACTTACACAACAAAAAAGTTGGACTCTTTTCTTTCTCTCTTTTAATATAGCTGTAGAACTGTAGCTCTCCAAAAAATATATTGACATGCTGGAGAGCTACAGTGCCACCTACTGGAAAAAAACAGCATACGGTATTTATTGCACACAAAAAGTCGCGCTGGGTTCTTGATCTATTCTTCTCAAGTCTTGCATTAATTGTAAAAAGGCTAGATTTCCAAAAAAATTCTTACCCCTCTATTCTTGTGGTTGACATATGTACGCAGCGCGTTGGACCGAATAATCTTGCAGACCAAAATGGCAGCATGAAAAGACGAAATTTTTGATTATATCAATTGCAGGGCTAGGAGAGTAATAAACAAAAATTATGAATATTTTGTTGTGGAAATAGTGAAAGAATATGTTGGGAATACACGGTAAGTAATATTTCGAGATGAGTTTTAAAGCATGGAGAAATAAATCAAGAAAAAGATTTTAGTGTGCAATCTAGATTTTTCAATGGGTGGCACTGCAATCACATTAAAATTAGATGTTAGATCCGCTCGCATACTCGCTACACTAACATCTAACAACATCCCATTGAGGGTCATGTCAGAGGTCAATTTCTTTCAACCAATCAAATCGCCGCTGGCAAAATCATCATATATTGTTGAAGCGAACAAGTCTTGAGGCGTTCCAAATTTGACCTCTGACGTGACCCTCAATGGGATGTTGTTAGATGTTAGTGTGGCCAGTATGCGAGCGGATCCAACATCTAATTTTCATTAGATTGGTGGCACTGTATCTCTCCAGTCTGTCAATATAATTTTTTTGTAGAGCTGCATTTCCCACAACCCAAGGGTAATTTGAATGGTTCAGTAAGATTACAGGAAACAAACATATTTTTTAAGCCAAAGTGCATGTTATTGTATTTAAACAGGTTCAGTATAATGACTAGATGAAGCTACGTACATAGAATTCCCTACGTAGCTTTATTTACCAACCTCAGATACCTTTATTTAGCTATTTCAATGCAATTTTTAAAAAATTATTATTGTATTTAAACAGGTTCAGTATAATCACTAGATTAAGCTACGTATGTAGAATTCCCTACGTAGCTTTATTTACCAACCTCAGAACCTTTATTTAGCTATTTCAATGCAATTTTTTAAAAATTTTATTTTTATTAAAAAGAGACAAAAATCTCAAGAAAATGACTATTCATATTTATACTAGTGAGGTTTTAAAAAACAAACCAAAGCAGATAAAGCTTATACATTGCTGTGTTTGGACAAATGAATGCAAAACATGTAATTTCAAATCCATTGTTTGGGTAAAATATGCTCATTTTAACCAGAACTGGACTTCTCTGTAATTTCATCCAAGGAGTAACTGTTTCAAATGCCATACCATGGGTGTCAGAGCAAATTGAAAGTGGGGGGAGGGGGGACTAAACCAGCCAAAAAAAGTAAATCCCATTACCATGATTACTGGTTCCAACGCCTATGCACACATAGCCCCAAAACTAACTTTGAATGTAAAAGAAATTTCTTCATGAGTGATTTTTTCATGAATTGTTTTTAGATGAGTTCAAAGTTTAAAATGATCACTGCATCAAAATGAGATTTTTCTGCACATTCTGAGGAAAATGTTTTTTTCACAGATATAAATTTATTTGGTAGCTAAATAAAGCTACCTCAGGTAGGTAAGTAAAGGCTAAGTAGGTAAATCAAGCTACGTAGCTAAATCTAGTGATTATACCACCATTACCGGACTTGGTGAAATCTATTTCTAAATGCATTAAAACATCACAAAACACTTGCATTTTTACCATAATTATTTTTATTTAATACTATAACATTTTAAAGAAAATTGAATATATACATATGCAAAGAAATCCATCCTGATTCTCCTTCCTTGTGT